CCGAGGCCGCCCGGGTCCTCGTCGTCTGGCCGCCATGGACGAGGCTGACCGGCAGCTCCTGCGGCGATGCCGGGTGCGGCTGGTCCGCGAGCTGCAGGTGGCCTCGCTCTGGGACGTTCTGCTGTCCCGCCAGCTCTTCACGCCCGCCATGATCGAGGACATTCAGGTGCGCCCCAGCTGGGGTCAGCGAGGCCGCGCGGAGAGGGTTGCTGAAGCCACAGCATGACTTAAAGGCCGAGCTCCCGCTCTCCACTCCTGGTCTGTGCCCCCGGTACCCATCCCTTTTGGGGAACCATCGTGTGGGAACCCCCTTTTCCCTCACGGCGTTGAGCCCGCTAGATCGTCCAGCGGAACCGTGCGATCCCGGACACCTCTTCCAGGGTTGGCTAGAGCGATTCCACGCCCTGCACCACCAGCATGCACTGTTGGCTGCTGCAGCGCTGTTTCTGCCCGGGAACTAGGCCCGTGTCCGGCCTTCTAGCGTGGGAGGTTCAGGGCACTCAGCTGGAGGGGGTGGGTCACACCGCCTGGCTCTGTGTCCCCCGCTAAGTCACTGATCGTCTTTGAGCCTTGGTTTCCTGGACTGTGAACTGGGGACAACAGTAGTAGCGTGAGAACCAAATGAGCTAATGGATGTGAAACTGTAAGGTCAGAGTCCGGGCCTAGCTGGCTGTGCCCTGCCCACTTTGTCCAGCCCCTCCTGTGCTAAGTTTATGTTTTCCTAAGGGGTTTTGGAGATGAGGGGCCTGATGCAGGTAATGGAGAAAATAAACATGTGAGGTTCTCTTTAAAAGCAGTTTCATGTCTTACTTGGCTCTCACCACAGGCCACTGAGGTTAGGAGGGGTCTAGGAGGTATTTCCTACCAGGAGGTGTGTTTGGCTTTCAGGAGGCCTCTGGCCACTGCCCTGGGGACTGCTTGCAGACCGAGTGTCCGTTTTCTCCATCATCCAGGAGCTTGGCCTGACCTAGTGAAGAAGTCTTTAATAGGATAAGGGTCATAATGAAAAATTACCAATGAATAATAATATTAAAAAAGTCTCATGAGCATCTGCTCTGTGGCCTGTACTGAGGAGTGGAAATTGTTTGAGGCCATATCCTTGCCTTCAGATACAAATTCAAATGCCCACAGAGGCCCAATGGGTGGGCGCTGCGGTGGGCAGCCCCCCAGCTCCAGCTCATATGGTCATTCCAGCATGCTGGCCCTGTGTTGCCAGATTTTTAAAGAGAAGCTGAAAGTCCTGATTTTGATGTTAAATTCCCTGATTTTAAATGTTAGCAACAAATTCAGATTTTAAAAGAACGTCACACGAACGACAAGGCCGCCATTTTGCCACACCTGGTTTGGCTGAGCCACATGGATCTGGGTCCTCATCCTGGCTTTGTTACATATTAGCAAGTTGTAGTGCCTTTCTGGGACTCAGTTTCCCTCATCTGTAAAGTGGGGATAATTGTAATTTAACCCCTTAAGGTTGTTGAGGGGGACTAGATGAAATGATGCATTTAACACAGTATCTGTCTTACTGTGAGTGTTCCATAAATGTTGAGAGAAAGGCCCGTAGCTAGTTGTTTTCTTAGTGAGGTCTTTTCCGTGACATTATAGGTCTGTGCTGTTCAGTAGAGTAGCATTAGCCACATGTGGCTATTTAAGTGTAAATCTGAAGTAATTAATATTAAACAAAATAGAAAATTCGGTTCCTCAGTTGTAGGACCCCAGTGCTCAGTAGCCATGTTGGTTAATGCCTGCCATCTTGGTCAGCGCAGGTGAAGAATATTTCCATCATCGTAGAAAGTTCCCTTGGACAGTGCTGCTATAGGATATTTGAGGCCAGGGTGGTGTCTTATCCCTGTGGATCCTGAGGAACTTGGCCAGAGCTGGGTCTGAAAGGATGAGCAGATAAACAGTTTCTTCCTTTTCCCTGTGTCAGTGACCAGCCCCACCATCCTGACACCTGTTAACCTCAACCATTCCTGCACTTTACAGTCCACCTGATGAGTGCCCAAATCCTGTGCATTCTCCTTCTTGATTTTTTCTGGTGTGTTCACTCACTTCTCCATTCCTGCTGCACTGTCTTTGCCACCACCTGATCTGGCTGTGGCTCACTCCCTTCTGTTGTCCACCCTGCCCCTAGGATGATTTTTCTAAAAGGCAGATCTGACTCTGTCACTTTCCTAAAACTCCTCAGTAGCTGCTCACAGCTTTCTTGGCATGACCACACAAAGGTCTCATCCCTCACGACTGTTTCCCATTCCAGCTTACATTTCTCACTTCTCTGAATTCACTCTTCACTTCCTAATGTCCCTGGGGTCTCAGTAAAGACATCCCCTTCTGGAGGCCTCCCTGGCTTCCCAAGGCTGAGTTGGATTACCCCGGACCCTCCTAGGCCCATGTACTTTCCCACCTGACACTTCTGTGTTTGGTGTGTCACTGTTGATTTGTCTGTTTGCAACCCTCACTAGATGTCTGCTTCTTGAGGACTAATAATGTTCACTGCGGTATTTTCAGCACTTAGCAATGCTGGGCTCATAGGAGATGCCTCCAAAATAATGAATAGATAAGCAGGGCGCCTGGGTGGCTCAGTCGGTTAGGCGTCTGCCTTCGGCTCAGCTTGTGATCCCAGGGTCCTGGGATAGAGCCCCGTGTCGGGTTCCCTGCTCGGTGGGGAGCCTGCTTCTCCCTCTCCCTCTGCCTGCTGCTCCCCCTGCTTGTGCTCTCTGTCTCTCAAATAAATAAATAAAATCTTTAAAAAAAATAAATAAGTGAAGGCTGGCAAGTGGCACACACTCAGTGTAACTGCAGGCTCAAATTTTGCCCATGTGACCGATTGTTTAGACTTAGGCTAGATGGGAAATGGGGGGTACAAAATGAGAGTCACAGGACATTGTGTGGATAACACTGCCATGTCTTTCTTTCCAAACAGCATGCAGGCTCGGGATCTCGGAGCGATCAGGTCAGGCAGCTGGTCATAGATCTAGAGACCCGAGGGAGTCAGGCCCTTCCTTTGTTCATCTCCTGCTTAGAGGACACAGACCAGGACGTGCTGGCTTCATTCCTGAGAATGAGTCGGCAAGAAGAAAAGCAGAATCCAGAGGCTGTCAGACCCCTGAACCTCAGGCCTGTGGTGCTTGGACCAATGGGCCTCACACCAGAGGATCTCAGAGAGAAGACGGGTCCATTAAAGTCGACTCCGAGAAAACTCGCTCCAGTGGTGCTGGGGCCTGAGCAGCTCTGGCCAGCCAAGCTCAGGCCAGAGGTTCTCAGACCAGAGGTGCCCAGGCCAGTGGACAATTGTTCTGATGTCTGTGAGTACCAAGAGAGTGGTTGGTGGGTAGTTGGACCTATGAGGTTAATGACCTTGGATGTCCAGATCTCTCCCCAGGTGTGGGAAGTTCTCAGCCATTATTTTTCTAAATAAGCCTGCTGCCCCTTTCTCCCTCTCTTCCTTCTTTTGGGACCCCAGTAACGCATAGATGTTTCTTTTCAAGATAACCCATAGTTCATGTAGGCTTTCTTCATCTTTGATCTTTTCTCTTTTTTCTCTGCTGATAATTTCAAATGACTTGTCTTCTACTTCGCAGATTCTTTCTTCTGCGTGATTGAGTCTGATGTTGATGCTGTCTGTTGCATTTTTAATTTCATTCATGGCATCCTTCAGCTCCAGAATTTCTGTTTGGTTCTTTTTTATGATTTCTATCTCTTTTGTTCACGTGTTGTTTTCCTGATGTTGTTGAACTGTCTTTGTGTATACTCTTGTAGCTTACTGAGCTTCCTTGAGACAGCAGTTTTGAATTCTTTATCTGACACATTGCAGGTTTCTATTTCTCAGGGGTCAGTTTCTGGAAAATTATTTTGCTCCTTTGGTGGTGTCCTATTTCCTTGATTTCTCATGTTTCTTGAAGTCATGTGTTGGCTTTGCATTTGAAGGAGGAGTCACCTCCTCCAGTCCTTACTGACTGGCTTCTTCAGTGCATCTAATTTTGGATTACTTTGCACCAGCGGTGTTTTGGAGCTCCTCTGCTCGATTCCTGGACTTCCACAAAGGCAGTCTCATTTGTGGATGATTGTCAAAATGGGTGTTCATTGTCAGGGAAGGCGGTGGAAAACTCTTAATTGTGCTACTTTGATGATGTCCCTCTCTCACTTTGTGGATCGATACTACTAATTTGGGGAATGAAAGAATTCTTCAGTTGTGGATAATAGTTATATTGTTGGGGTGCAGTGGGATTTTGGAAATGAGCAATAGTTCCAGATTTGAGGCTGTGAATTACAGGATTCTTCAAGCAGGTAAAACCATTTCCGATTAAAAAATGGGATGTGAGGGGTGCCTGGGTGGCTCAGTCGTTAAGTGTCTGCCTTTGGCTCAGGTCATGATCCCAGGGTCCTGGGATCGAGCCCTGCATCAGGCTCCCTGCTC